CTGGAACCAGCTCCACAGCCACTATATGAACACCCAGTGAGTTCATATGCGAGAAAAGTGGGTCCGGCCTCAAAGGGATATCCTTTGAGGTGTTGCATTATAAAAAAAATATTCAAAGCATTTTGTAAGTAGGTGAGAGTGGAGTTCATTCCCCTCTAGGTTTAGCATAATTCAGTGGTTTTCCCTCTTTTTACTCTCATAAGTAGAACAGCTCGGGGATCTGTTATCATCTTTTACCACATAGCTGTTCATTTGAATACTTTCCTTTGGAATAACCCCCTAATTTGGAAAATGCATCTTCAACATTATGTAAGATATATTTCTAACAAGCAGTATTTTTTTTACTTCCCTTTCAGATTCTGCATCTTTGTTTTTATCCCTCTCTGCTTTTTTCTTTTTCTTCAAGAAAGAGCAAATCACAGAGGAACACAGCAGGCAACAATACCATTACCACTATTCATTTAATAGCAAACTATACAGTCATGTGGCCCGTATTATAGAGGTGTTCTCTTTTGTAGAGGGTTCGTTTTGAGATGTCTGAAAAGTAATTTTGTGTCAGTAGAGAGGAAGCAAACCTCACCACAAAGATCTCTTATATTCAACTGGGTCTGAATATGAGACGATCTGGGCTTCAGGCCAAACACAAGGGTGAAAGGAGGAACAACTGCTCTGATAAGGATAAGAACAAAACACCCATGGTCTTTTTATACTCTGCTTATATACATTGGTTTTAGACTCAGACAAGCCAAGAGCATTGTTGAGGTTGTGGTGCATCATTGAATACAATTTAAATGTTTAGAATACCATCAAAACACTTCATTTATACTCTAGACAAACTAATCTTAACCAAAATTAGCCACCAAATTGCTAAAGTAATAAGTAGTAACATAGTTTCCTTCAACCTTAGAAAGGTAAAGTTAAGCAGGACAGGTTGGCCTTAAGTAGAAAATTTGATGAACTTACAGGGAATACCAGAAAAACCCAGCTGGAGCAAGACTGAACAAGGAATCACAAAACTTGTTAGGACTTAGGAGCTCAGCTCCTAGCTCTACTTGTTACAGGGACCTCTAACTCCCAGGCTAGCTATTCGAAGAGCTGGAAGCTCCTGTTAGTTTCAGGACTCCAGATTTATTGACTCTCTTTTCTCTGATTGTTGAAGACCATTGAAGTGAATATAATTACCATTTTGAAATGTCCACTTGCCTCCTATTTCAGTTGTACAACAGACACACTGCAGACTATGTTCACTATACATTTGCTTCATACAGTACAAAACCTTTGGCTTTTCCCCCTCCTTTTCTCTTATGTGCTTTCAGTCTTCTTCCATTGTCCATAAAGTAGTACAAGCATGTTAATGTTCTTCTGAAACAAACTAAATACAAGCGGTTCACATTTGCATGGATAAATAATTAAATCAAATGATTTGTGTCAAGTATTTTCTGTAATCAGGTTAGCTGATGAATTGTTTCAGCCCACTTTTGAAGAGCACAAATGAATATTAGAACATAAATATCTGCTTTGTTGTGATTTTAAGAAAGCTGTAAAACGGAAGTAAAGAACTAGTTAGTAGTTCTTTTAATGAGATTTAGACCATTCCATGTTATTAGTTGGATAACTAGTTTTTGCACTGCTCACTGTAGACAGTCAGTTCCATCTCAGTGATACAGAGATAACCATTCACACATAGTTAACCAATTAACCTAACATGCATGTTTTTGGTCTGTGGGAAGATGCTGGAGTACCCAGAGAAACCCCACCTGTGCATGGAGAGAACATGCAAACAGCACCTAGGAATGATCCTGCAACCTTCTCACTGAAAGGCAACAACTCTTCCACCTACCATATTGCCCTTTTCCCTTAACAGTTTATGGAAATTATAAAATTAATGTTCATATTTTTATCTGTAGTCTCATATTATTGATAAACACATTTTTCCAGTCATAGTTTTTAGTGTATATTATTTTTATTGCTGTACAGTAGTCCCTCGTTTATCGCAGGGATTACGTTCTGGGCACCCCAGCAATAGTTGAAAAACCGTGAAGTAGGAACGCTATATTTATTTTAGCATTTATATTTTAAGGCTTTATAAACCCTTCCCACACTCTTGCAATGTTCTAAACTCTTTTACCTACATCATTTTTACAACATACATATATGTACTACACAGTAGCTACTGCAAAATTTTATATGGGTACTCACCAGCCTTGATCCAGTTCTGGTTGGATTCTGATCAGCTCTCTGTAGCCGTTGAGCACCAGATGCTTTTAGAGAGAGCCGGACCTTTGGAGAGCCATCACAAAACCACACAATGGTCCCGATCGAGTCCAAATAATCCAGAGAAGTCAGGATGAAAAAGTCTGATAAATTAGATAGGGTTGGATCAGATCAAAACTTTCCCTCCATTTTTGGCAGAAAGCTGCGGCCAGAAGCAGTGTTGGCTTCTGGGAAGTGCACTGTTGCCTTCTGGGTAGTGTAGTTTTGGCCCTACAGTATAGGCTTATTAAAAGAAAACTACAAAATGGCAGCTCCTGTCTGAAGTTTTATTTTTCTGTTAACTTTTTATTCCGCACCGTCCCAATGACGTGAGTAATATCAAAGTTGACAATTGCTGAAAAACCGCGAAAGAGCGAGTTCACAAAAGTCGTTCTTCAAAGTAGCGAGTGAGTACTGTAGTTGGAAATAATGTACATGTAGTTATTAAAAAAAAAAACTGATTATATTTGTTTGCTTTTTGGCTTTTTTACCTTTATTTATCTAAATCAATTGTTACTAACAATAACAGTCTATTACAGGTAATCAGTACAACTTTAAAAATGTAATTTTTGCTTTGTGACAGATTAATAACCTGTCCAGAGTTCATCTTTCTTTTATCTTATTTTACACTGGGATGATTTCAAAGCCTATGTTGCCTTGCATAGCTAAATAATGAATGGATGAAAAGAGAAAACAGTTTTGCTGCTCAGACTTCCACGATATTCTCCTCAACCTACTGTATAAATATTTTCAACCCTTCAGAGCAACAATCAGTTGCGTGTTGTTAGATAACCTGTAGTTACGTATATTTTCATGCTCATCAAAGGCAGAAGTCATAATCATGATCTGTTAATTCTTCTTGACTCTGTGCTCTTAATGAAACCTCTGCATGTGAAAAGACAAATGAAAAAGATTACCAGTTCAAGAGGAAGCTCTTAATCAGACCTCTCAAGCACCATCATGTTTCCATGTTGTTAAGATTTATTTTAAGTGGCAGTGGGGCCTGTTTTTATATTTTTTACAGCAAAACAAGGCTACCTTTTTGTTCGGACAAATTCATCATCGTAATATAATTTATAGAACATGTTTTTTTTTTTCATCAACTCATGTTTTCCAAATTAAAAATGTATGAGTCAGCTAGTTTAATTAAAATGCGAGAACAGAAAATAAACAGGTAGATTCTAGTTTGTTTACTTTTATTAGGCTGAGCCACACAGTAAACCAGTGGACTGTTAGTGGAGACTTATTTCATTTGGAAGACACAGACAAAAACATCTACCCAAAATTACATGCATTCATTTGGGAATATGATGTATGCATATTTGGGATGTCCTCTTTCTTCCTTTTAGAAAACAGAGATAGCATTTGCCTGACTGAAAATATCTCTGGCTCTTTTTTTATTTCTTCTGTTACATGTATTTTAGATTTTATCAAGTAAATCAAAACTTTCAGATCAAATGAGTTGGGTCACCCTGTGACTATATTAGATATAAAAGTTTATATTCAATAATACAGGTACAAATGCAACAATGTTCAGTCAGGTCATCTGGACGTTTTCTTTTTAATTTGTTGAGACGTTTTGTCCTTCATCCAAAGGACTTCTTCAATCTGAGGAGCCACCAACAAACTGAGACCCACAAACAGCACACTCCCATATTGGAAAAATGGAGGGCGGGCCCTGGAGGCCATTTTATCACCAGCAAACTGTTTTTGTTTTGTTTAGTTTTTTTTTTTTTTCCACTCTGGAAATGTGCTGTTTGTGGGACTCATTTTGTTGGTGGCTCCTCAGATCAAAGAAGTCCTTAGGATGAAGGATGAAACATCTCAGCAAAAAATAAAATAAACTGCCCAGATGACCTAACTGAACATTGTTGGATTTTTACCTGGATTATTGAGCATGAACTTTGGTGTTTTGACCTGCTTTGGCATGGCTGCCTCAGCAGAGGAGTTGACGGGGTAGAGGGTGGGCCCTGGAGGCCTTCACCAGCAAACTCTTTTGTTGTTGTTGTTTTTCCCCACTATGGGAGTGTAGTGCTTGTGGGACTCAGTGTGTTGGTGGCTCCTCAGATTGAATAAGTCCTTTGGATGAAGGACAAAACGTCTAACATAAAAATAAAAAAAACCATCCAGATGACCTGACTGAACATTGTTGGATTAGATTAGATTTTTTTTAGATTAGATTTTTTAATAAATTATCTTACGTTATTTGAGACATAATTGTATTTATATGATTTAACAATCTCCTGTAAGCATCAGAAGTTTGTGTTTTTTTATAGATATTCTGTTACATTCATTATGAAAAGTTGGATTATTCAAATTGGTTTATTTAGTTTTCTAAGCCTAAGGCAGCTCATCTATGCATGAGTACCCAGAAGCAGATTGCAATCGTCCCTCTTCTGTCTAAACCTGAGACTGCCTGTGCTGGGTAATAAGCCTGCTATGATAATCAGCTACTAACAGGATTGGTTTTTTTTTCTCCTATCAAATCTAAATCAGCCCCAGATCTGTTCTTCCCCTGTAGTTTCTTTTGCCCTCACACTAATTTTTGCTGCGTCTGAGTGTATGCTCAGATTACTGTTTGGCCTGTAGCAGCTGTAATGTATTTGCTCTTCTTTCGTCTGCCTCTCTGACCTTGCTAACGGAGCATCTCTGATGAACTCCGCATACCACATTTGAAGGACTGCTTCGCCAGAATCTGTTTGTAAACACGATTTTCATTTTTATTTCCTGTCCTTGCATATCTTCAGAGAATCAGATGCCACATGGCTTCCCCACCATCGATATGGGGCCCCAGCTGAAGGTGGTTGAAAGGACCAGGACGGCCACGATGCTGTGCGCTGCCAGCGGAAACCCAGACCCAGAGATCTCGTGGTACAAAGACATGCTTCCTGTGGACATCAGCAGCAGCAACGGCCGCATCAAACAGCTTCGCTCAGGTACAGCATCGTAAGATCTTAGTAGATTTTTGTGATTTAAATTTTTATTTTGTACGTGACACAAATAACACAAACACGACAGGCAAGGTGCAAGATGTCACTGCATACCTGCTGACATCATGTTAGACATGAAGATATGTAAAATACAAAAGGTCTTTGTTGTCTTGCGCGATTTCAAAAAGTGTCTTTTATCACAGAGAATACAAAGAATATGAAAGTTTTATTCAGCTTGTCGTTGCTACCTTGATTAGTTTGCTACAAACTTACAGAAGTATATTCCTTACATCAGCAGAGCCGACACTTCCAAAGTAATTTAAATTGGAATGACACCCTTTCTGTGCCTTTTGCAGGCTTTGACAGTGTGGCATGAACTTTTCAAACTTCTTGAAGTACGGAACGAAAATGTCTCAACCTAATAAATAATCCCTAATCCCCTCTTAAACATGCAGCTGGGTCACAATGAGGCCGGCAGATGATGCATTAGCCAGGATTCAACCAGAACCTAATGAGGTACACTTTGTTCACAGTCGCCGTTCCAGTGATATATAAACAGTGCCACCTTGACCTGGATTTGATGAGAAACGTGCAAAGTGGGTAGATTGGTGTGTTTTGAAACAGATTCAGCCTTTCTCTCTCTGCTAAGCCTACTCTGACTTTAGGAGGTAGGGAAACCCTACTATGTGAGGTCGCTTTTACTTTGGGAGGTTTCCGAATTTGAGAAGCGGCTTATGAAGTATCAGACCCGGCTGCAAGTCTGAGAACCCAAAGGTTAAAGATAAGACATACTCAAGAAGAAGCCTGGTGATACAGCTGCTCGGCGTAAGCTGAATCTTTTGAGCACTGTCCATGTTCTTACAGTTTTGAATTATTACCTAGTGCCCAAACAGAAACAAATTCCTACAAACTCAACGTCTTAATTGTTTCAGAATTTTTTTATTGCAAGGATAAAATTGTGCAAAAAGAAAATCTATTTTTACTTCCAGCGACAAACTTTTAATTGGTTTTCTTTCCCACATACATTGAGAGCGCCTGAAAAAGTGCTGATATGTAATGCCCCCAGACTAACATTTCTTTTTATCCACCACCGTTTTCCTGACATCTGCTGCTGTATCAGGATTTACTTTACTAAATATGATGTGAAATGAGGCCAGTTTTGCAATGTGAAGGGGAGGAGTAAAGCACATTAGTTTGTAGCCAGCGTTAAACTGAAATGGGAATCTAAATTCTTCCTTTTGTAAAACACTTGATTAGTTTTCTAATGAGCACACAGGCACATTTACTCTCTTTTAAGATGATTCAAATCACCCACAGAGTGGAGATACTAACTTCTGTTCAGTTTATTTTATTTGACATTAGTATTTCTTCTTCATCACTCTTTTTTTTACCATGTATTATTCTTATTTATTATCCCTGTCTTTTTTTTTTTTTACTAACTTTTGTCTGCAAAGAAAAAAAAAGGATTGGTGGACATCCTAAATTACAAAGCTTAATTGAAATGTATGTTTAAAAGGTTTTAAAGCCGCTGTAAAGCATGAGTGAAAGTGCTTGAGGTTGGTGCCTGCATAAACAGAATGAGGAATATTACATTTCAAAACTGACAGAAGGGATCCTTCTCAAAGGCGTGTGTTGTTTTAAATAATTAGAGACAACCTGCTCTGTCTAATATCCATAATTGCTTCAAGCTGTAGCATTGATGAAGTGCACTGAACTTTGGCTCATTGCGTTTAAGTGGCCTCTACTCTGTATCACTTTTTTCCACTTTTCTTTTCTATGGCCTGTCAAAAGACATGTTTTTCTCCCACTGCTGTAAGTGGATTACTAACTAATCTTTCAACCCTGTTTTCATTGAAATTACTCCCACCTAGGTGGTACACCAATTAGAGGTAAGAATGATGAATAGTGTATTGGAAAAATCTTAACGTTCATGCCATCCCCTCACGCCCACATCAGACCCCTACATGTTTCCCATTGTGCCACATCGCCAGGTTCATCCTCGCCGTTGGCGCCAGTCCCCCATCTCCCTACACTTTTCCCTGCGTTTTCTCCCAACATGTCCTGTCTACTGTCTGGTCCTTGACAAACAAATGATCACCAACCTTGTTGTAAGAAGGGAAATGCAAAAGTCCACTGTGTTAGCTTGTAAATGAGCCTTTCAAGGTGTTTTACACAGTGTGTGAAATGAACCATTTTAATTTAAAAAATAAATAAATAAACACTTTCACACAAAGCGTGTTTTTGCTTCAACCTCTCTTGTGGTTTTTCAGCAAAAGGAGCAAGGAGTCAAAACTAAAGGCCGCCAACGTTACACAAGGATCTAACTGCCTTATTTGTGCAGTCTCTGTGAATTGAAATGACTGCATTTGCATAGAGCCTATGTGGAGTTGCCCCCCAGCATGGGAACTGGAAGTTTGCTGAGAATGTTAAGGTGGAATCCTTCACCCTTTTTTATGGAAATCATATGCTTTTCCCCAAGACATAAAGCAAGTTTCACCTCAACAACACTGCAGCTGATGTTGGGTATCTGAAAGAGACTGAATAAATTTCTACATTTTCCGCACATTTGTGGTTGCCTATATCACAACCCTTATTCAATCAGATTTTTAGATGTAATGACACTGTTACCTCATAGGTAGAAGCTGTCAAAAATCCTCAAGTACTCGAATATTTGGAAGCACCAGAAATGGTTTAGCGTCACACCTTGACAACTACCATGTAGCAGCAATGTTCATTTTTATAGTACTCAAACTGTTTTCTCCCATGAGAGCGCTGGCAGATTGACAGATTGGTGACATTGACATTAGTATGCCGGTGCATGTCAGTGCTGAATCAGACAGGGATGAGCTCAGCGAGCCGAACAAACACCTCGAAGGGATGTGTTGTCACGAGATCTGAAGTCGTACTCTCACATGTCACTGCCCCGCCCTGTTCCGGTTCTGTTTTTAGGTCTTGTCTGGCTTTGAGTCCCTTATGGTTGGTGGTGAACCTGTTTGTTACATTCATCTCATACTGCATGATGTATAAATGTACCTTATGCCGAGTATTGTTGTCATTTACAAACTGCATGGGATCTGGCTGCCATTTGTGCTAGCACCATGCTGCTTTGGAGACACAATCACTTTTATCAAGAAGCAGTGTTTTTTTATCTATACTTTAAATTTTAATACAGGTAAGTTTACTCTTGCTCTTCTTAATTTGTAAAATAGGAACCTGCTTCGTCTGTCTGTAATTTGCAAGTCGATACCAGTGATGAAATAATGGCTGTGTAGTGGAGTGAACAAATGATCACCCCAGGTTGGATCTCTGGGGCTTTCATTCTTTGTTTGAAGCAACATGTTGGCCTCCATTCAGACGCCAACAACAACTTGGGAGTTGTGAATAAAAATCGTAGCCATCTGGCAGAAACAAAAAAATCTCCCTTTTGTGAAACTTTGTCAATAATTTCCTAAGGACCAACTGCACTGGCAACTGTTAAAGTGCAGAATTTCAGGCCATTTAACAAATTCTTCATTAATTTCAGCGTTTGCTCAATACTTTAAAAAAACAACAACATGAATGTAAAATTTACACTACTTAGCCAAAAACAAAATCACACACTAACATTATGTTGGACCACCAAATGCTTATATTCTGGCAGATCTTGGTCATGACATCACTGCACACAGCATGTTACAAGATTCACCTCCATCCAAACGTGCATTAACTTTTTAACAGCTTCTTGTATGACTAATTGGAAATCCAGACCACCATATGAAGTCTTCTTCCACTCCTACTAAAAAAATTAGGAATCATGAAGGTCTTGGCTCTTTTTTGCCTATTCACTGATGAAAGGGTTTGTCTTCTGAGATAGTTGTTTAAAGACTGATAGGCCATTAACTGTATCAGCGAGTTTAGAAACCTATTGTCATCTACAAATTGAATTAACACAGTACTTTAAAAAAAAATATTGCTTATTAAAACCCAGGAAATTATGCAATTTATCTGAAAACCACGTTATCTACTCTGCTTGAATTTTAGTGTAGAAGTTGCACTATTTTGGCACTTTTAAAGAATATCCTTTATGTTAACGATGTAAAAGAAAATTTAATGGCAACTGTTTGGTTGCTTATATTTTAAATTATCTATCTGCTTTCTCATATCTGGCTAACTCAGACAATCCTCTGTGGCACAAACACTTCAGTTTGTCATATTTCCATTAGCTGAAGAGGAAATTAGACTTTAAAGTCTGTTTTAAATCATAAATAACCCTCAGTCATTATCTTTTATATTTTTAACATGACAAGGCCAAATATTCAGTTAGCAGTTTTCTTAATCTCATCACCAGTGCTGTTCAATGTTCATGTCGTGTTAATTATGTTCTTTACAAAACTCTGTCCCTGTCTGTACATGAACTAAGTTAGACTAGTTGGCTGCAGTCTCTAGTGAGCGACTGCATAAATATCTGCCTTGGTTTCTGTCATCTGTCAAGACGGCTAAATTTGTTAATCCTCCATGTAGGAGCTCTGCAAATTGAGAACAGCGAGGAGTCGGACCAGGGGAAGTATGAGTGTGTTGCGATGAACGGCGCTGGGACCCGTTACTCCGCTCCTGCCAATCTCTACGTCAGAGGTAAAGTCAAATGTCTTTCTTAGTTGTGAATTTAATCATTATAATGCCAATTTTTTTATTTCATGTATTTGCAAAACCACAAGCAGACGTACAATCTTCAAACTTGTCTTCTTTAAACCTCATTGTACATTTCTGGGAAAACATATTGTCTTTTAACTGCTGTACGATGTTCAAGATTTGCACTTTTTTACGCCGATTTCTGTCTGTCTTCACCCCAGTTCCTACTATCCCATTTCTTCCATTTCAATGAGCTGAACTAACCTCAGCCTCCTGTTTGGCTGAGAACTCAACCAGGTGCAGTGCCTGAGAAAACAGCTGCATTGAAACCATTTCCTCTGCTGGCATAGACACCAGGCCTCCTTTCTTTTTTTATATTGACTGTATCGAAAGGGCCCATTATTTTCCCCGAGCACAACCCAGCGCTTCTAACGACAAAGGTGTATGTGTGTGGTGGTGGTGGTGGTGGTGGGGGTCTTGGGTTTCCAGGGTTTGTTTTTGCTGTAACGTCTCCATGAACAGACTAATGCAGGGCAAGGGCAGGATTGGACCCATCCTGGAAAAAGCTGCTATAGGGGAATGAGTAGTCTAGGTCAGCCGCTGTGGAGAGCACCAGCATGTCTGATGTACATCAAGCACAATAGCTGCTCTAGTTTGTGTGTGAAAGTGTCCTTGCAAGTCAAAGAGACGCATGGTTATTTTTAAATTTTGTTAAAAGCATAGGGTTCTGTATCGTACAGGCAGTTTTATGGACAAGGATGTCTATTGTATTTTTTTTTTCATCAAGGATAAAAACAAGTAAATTACCGCTCAGTATCTCCCATTATGACCGAAAAAAGAAAAATTGTTTATCTCATTTAGTTTCCCTCATGGGCAGGTAAACATAATAATTTATTCTTTCATCCTCAGAGGTTTAATTGATGACATCTACATATTAAACACTGAGTTGTAGAAAATGTAGATCTTTAATCGTGACAGAAGGAGGTAGTCAGCCAAAGAGCAAAGGCGAGGATGGGATGTAAGTCTCATTTATTAATCAGGACGTGTCTGTCACAATTGTAGAGCCCCCCCCCCCACACACACACACACACACACACACACACCACCACTACACACACACAGGTAATTACAGTAGTTGTGTGGCATGGCGCCAGCAGGGCCTGGGGGCCCTTCTACTCTGTTACACCACCCAGGTAGCTGTCAACCCACTGGCCCTAGTACCAACTTTTTTCCGCCAGCTTCCCCACACCAGCGGAGAGATAGAAATCAAACCAAGCGTAACCTTTTTAAACGTGTTCTTGACTGGAATGGAGAACAAAGGCTGTAGCCATGGTTTCTCTCCATCTTTGTTACCGGTGCAGGAGAGGGAAGACAGGACCTGGGGCTGTGCTATCACTCGGCTGCTAGATTAGGTTCAGAACATGAGTGACTCGAGACAAGTGGCCTTTGACAAGGCTGTCTTCCTCTCCTGTTGTTATGTCGCTGTTGTTTTTTCTTTTTTTACTTTAAACACTGAGGAGATTGTGGCACTTTCTGTTGTCAAACTTAATTATTAGACACTTAAAAGCTAAAAAGCAATTATTGTTTACATTAGTCTCTTAACTCTTAGACATTTATAATCATTTTTAGGAACTATAAAGTTTGAGTAAATAACATGAATGTATTAACTGATTAAAATCAGTTTTCTAAAAGTTTCAGCCTCCCCTGGTACAACTTTATGGGTCATTTTATTAGTATTTTCTGCTCACTGTCACCACTAGATGTAATTCTTTTCTGTAAATACACAAACATGCTGCCAGCACCACTGTCACCACCCTTGTCTTGACATTTTAATGCCACCAGAGAGTGATGTCCTCATATTGTGTCCGTGGGAGGGGTGACACTGAAGAAGGTGTTTTTTTTGTGTGTGTGTGTGTACATGGAGAGTCTGCACATGAATTGTTTTCCCTTTCCTATGTCTTTGCATCAATTAACTGTATGTCCCTCCACTTGTTATCCATTAAGACTGTGACCGTGTTTGTAGGTGTGCAACTGCAGGTCGCTCATGGTGACCCTCCTCTAAAACAGAGGACTCCATCAACGTGGGCTGAAGCACAGAGAGTGCTGTGATTGTGCATGAGCGCTCATTTGTCAAGCATTTATCCCACAACGGAGGAGGGATGTCAGCTTCTGTCGGCTGGCACTCTTTCATATATCCATGTGACATGTCAATATGTCACAGAGGATAAAGTGCTGCAGCTGGGTTTTTCTTTACCAAAATATCTCCATGCTGTTTCATGTCTATGTGTCTGTGTCTAGGAAGGAAGTGAAAAATAATCAATTTAGGTTTGATTTATGAGGACTAAAATTAGGAACAAGACCATATTTAACTAGCATGACATCAGCATGACCTTAAGAAGGGAAATTATAATAAAACAAAAAGATTTGACAGGTTCAGTTCCTATGAGTTGAGTGGACTGAACAAGTTGTTCCTCTTTGTGCATTTGTAATATTGAAGAATCTTTTGTTTTTCTAAAATTGAGATGTCAAATCTTTGAAATCATCTGTTAAGCCTGAGTCATTGGGTCATTTGTAAAAGGTAGTTTCTCTCCCTGATGCTGATATCTATGCATTACTTTGCCTCTCTGTGCCATGTCACTAACCTCCACTGTGTCTCCAAAAACACTTGTCTGTTTCACTCTGTCTTCCTCTTCACTTTGTATCTTTCCATTCCATCGGTCACCTTCATCATATCACTTCACCCGCAAACAGATCAGCGTGAAGGTTTGTCATTTTCACTTTTTGTCAGTTCCCTTAAACTTTGAACTTAGTGCAGAATTTTTGGTGAGGTCCCCTCCCTCCCCACCTCCACCTTTTGTGCCAAAGACACTTACATTCTTCCCTCTAGAGACTAATATATTATTAATAGCTCTCCCTAATCCTCTGCAGCGTAATTGTGTGCTGTTGTCGACGTGTTTGCATGGATCCCTGAATAGCTCTCGCATGCCTGCCTGTGCCACTCCCACCAAACCATGTTTCAATTAGTCTTGCCAAAACGTATAAAGGAGTTCCTGAGTAGTTAGCCCAAGTTATTATTAAAGCTCTGTTGTGTTAGGTTGTTTTGCTTTTCTCCCCACCGCACCTATATTGTTCCTGTCAACTGAAACCACCGAAAAGCAGCTTTCACCCTCAGAGTTTCCATTTGCCTCTGTAGAGCCGTCAGAATCAGGTATTCAGGTAATTCAGGTGACAACCGGATTTGTCAGGTATTTAGGCAGCAACACCCTGGCTCTCTCGCTGAGGGACATGGGTATCAGAGCTTACAAAGCCATTTTCAGGGGATTACATGTGGTTTACCACCATGGGTAGCATCCACCAAAAGACCAAAGGATGTGATAGTCACATGTTGGGTTAAAGAGAAAACTTGACCTCTTCTATTGTCCATGTTGTGTTATAGTGTGTCATTTTAATAAATACAGATATTAAGAAAGAACATCTATTGAAGTTGAAGTATTGCACTTAATCATTAACTTAGTTATGAAAGTTACTTTATGACTCTTAGTCCTTGATCTACATAACAACAGACTGAACTCTGCGTTCCAGTTAATGAATAGTAAACTTCACCTTGCTCAAGGCATTTTGGAAAATGTTCTCCTTGTGTACTATTTACACAACTCAGCCTCACAAAGAGCTGACCTGTAGAATATTTAACAATAAGCTTCCAGAGTGCTGACAAGGGGATGATCAGCCATCATAGTTGCCCAGAGTTGCTGCCAGGAAGCCTGGGAGCTTGCTGAGTCCGTGCCAGTTTGTGCCAGATATTGATTGACTGAACAGGTTCTGCTATCCTTGGGCACTTTGTCAAGGCAGTTAAATTTATAGGTATCCAGCAAAAAGGCAGGCAGAGTGGAGACGGGGCTTATTTTGTGGTTTTGATAGAGTCCCGGAGCCCATCTCTTCAAGCTGCTCTCGACAGGAGAGAGGCTCTGGGGGAATCGATAACAATTACCTGCCCTCTAGTCATTTTGCTCCACAGCACCTCTCCAAACTTAACCGCATGCTATGAATTATTCACAACATTAAGTGTTCAATATACACAGCCCCATTGACTGACTGTTCATAGTACTTTAAAGTATATGGAATCATGAAAGAATAACTGTAACTTTGAGCCTAATGGTTGTATGGTTTTATATCTGGCCTGCTTTTGTCTGTTTTCTCCTTGTAACCAAATGTTCTGGGGAAAAAAACAGCATGATAGGAACAAACATGTAGCCACTAATATGAATAGAAAGGTTTTTTTTTTGTTGTTTTTTCCACAAAGCACTCAAAGTGTGTCATGGGGCTAGTCACACTTGGATATCAGATGTTCAGTCAATTATATTAAAAAATTAAAAAGTTCCTCCTTTATTTTTTTCCACCCTAGTGTACTCAGGCTTGCTGTCATGTCCCATATCTTTCCTCAGCTCCTGTGCATGCTTTGCCTGAGAATTTCATCCCCGTCCTGTTCCCAGGCTGGTAAAACTCCTCAGCTGCCCCAGTTTTCTCATGTAAAATCAGCCATATTCTCAGGAACTCGAGAAAAATATTGTTGACACAACTTTCTGAATGTTTAATGTTTTTTTTGGTTGGTTTTTTTTTTCAGCAAAGCAATTAAACATTTTCCAAACTTAATATGTGGAAGCCAACTTTAGTCTGCTCCAAAGCCTGCCTCACCTTTTTACAATTTTTGACATTATCTTGTTTTAAAAGAAACTCACAAGGCCAAACTTCAAAATCAGGACATTTTTGTGGCTCCGGCTTGGAATATTAATTATTATTTTTTATACTGGGCCAAGTAGTTTCATCCCACATGAATCTGTTGATTAAAACAGCAGAAAGTCTGCATGCAGTACCTCAATTATGATGGGAAAAATTCAGATGAATGTGAACCTGCCCCCCCCCCCCCACCCCCACACTTATTAAAACGCGGTCTAGAGAACCAGCCTTTTCCTGACTGGAATCTCAAAAGGTGCTTTTGTGTTTTTCCATTTCACCACATAATGAGGGGAATAACAAGCATGGCTGTAACGACGTTCCGGTTCAAATTAGATCGGGAGGGAGGGGTGAAGGGTTGGGGGGAGGAGAGGTAAAGGGAGACTCATATTTGAAAATCCATTTTCATAAGGACCGGTGCATAAGAGCAATTACAGTCAAGTTTTCTTTTTTTCAGATGCTCAGAGCTTCTGTATTGCATTAGGGGAAACAAGTAGTGAGAATTCTGCAATGATGGTTTTGCGCTCTAGTGTCTTAAAGACGTATGAACAGTGGATGTGAAATAGAGATAATGAATTCTCAGTGGGGAGCTAAATGTTTAGCTCAACTTCACTTTCTTCATAGTCAAGAGTAAAGAAGTTTGAGCTCCTCCTTCTGAAACTGAGTTCAAACTGCAGAAACATGTCACATATTTAACACGTGTGACACTAATGGATGTTCACACTGTGTTGTCAAGGTTTCTTTCCCATGTCAAATAAAAAAGGTTCCTGCAAAAAGTTACCATAAAAAGACCTAAAACGTGTAAAGAGCGGAAGATGTTTTGTATGCATCTTCGTATAGACAGAAAGTCATATGTAAATGCTGACTGCCTGTTTATTCCAGTCTAGCTTTTCAGTGTAGTATGGAGCCTCTGAATAGGTGTTTGCCTTGTCCCAGGCGACGTCAACGGGCCCTTCTTGTCTCCATGGGAACTCCTTTTTAATGTCAGTCTATCTGCATATCAGAACTGCACAAAGAGCGTGAGAGACAGAGAGACAGAAAGACAGGCCGAGCTAAAGGAGCTAGAGAGAGGGAGGAGAAATCAGACAATGCCATCTCCACAGTGTCCTTCAATGATGCAACTTTCGCCACCATTTGACACTTTGACAAAAGAGGTCCAGATGTAGTCCGGCAAACCTGGACTATTTTCGGTAATATTCCTTTCTGTAGGAAAAAAGGATAAAACGTCTTTAAGTTTCCTGAACCATTTTGTGACTTTTTTCCACCCCCCATTGTGCTCGCCTGAACATTTGAACAGTAGCGATCAGCTCCCTATTTGATTGGCTTTTCTGAAATAGGGTTTACCCTTGACAGCATTGCAAGGGACAAGACCATTTATAATTTCATATAAAAGATACCATATTCACCTAACAGGTCCAACTTACTCATTCCATTCTCCTTTTTTTTTTTTTGCTTAATACTCATAGTACGAAGAGTTCCACCTAGATTTTCCATTCCTCCTACCAACCAAGAGGTGATGCCAGGAGGCAGCATTAACTTGACTTGCGTGGCAGTGGGATCGCCAATGCCCTATGTCAAGTGGACCATGGGCCAAGTGGACCTAACCAAAGAAGAGGAGATGCCATTGGGACGCAATGTGTTGGAGGTCACCAACATACATGAATCAGCCAACTACACGTGTGTGGCAATCTCTTCTCTGGGCATGATTGACCACACGGCACAAGTTACTGTCAAAGGTGAGCACTGTTTATTCACACAGGTTTAGACTTTTTATCTGTGAGGTCGTCACCTTCAACTGCCATGTAGAACGTTTTTCAGACTTTTTATATTTTTACATCTTAAGTTTTTCTATAGTTTTGGTTAATACCTAAATGCACAATTTAAAAGTGATCTGTTTGAAGTGTCCTTGTCAATGCATTGCTGCCTCAGCTTGTAATTTTCAGTCTGCCTATTTCTTCATCTAAGTGTGTATGTGACTTTGAAGCTGTGTTGTCTACCTATCACAGCCTCTGGTATCAGTATTTGTCTATATTGATCTCCTTTTCCACTCAGCTGATCAATACACAAAATGTCACAGTCATTAGCGGGACCACAGCAATACAGACCTTTATCCCTAAGGAAGCCTTAATGTGGACCCTTTGTTTGGTTTGCATTTGTAACAACAGGAACTACTCCTGCATTTTTTTTTGTATTGTCAGTAATAGCTAGGCCAGTTATTAAGCACAAAATTGTTACTTCACTCTGGCCTTTCTATTCATTTTGTGGTAATTGCACCTGACAGTGCTATAAGGATTAGCTTTTGAACCAGTCACCTCAGCCCTATGAGGAACATAATAGAGCATTATTAGACCTGTTGTTTCTTTTCTCCACATGAGCTTATTTTGCTGGATTGTACCTACATCTTTAGAACTATCAGATCAAACATGTCAGAAGTTCAAGTTGTCCTAAAATTACTTAAAAAATCCATTTGAAATAATCAAATGTAATATTTTGCTTCTCCTTCCACAGCCTTACCAAAGCCCCCCACCTCACTCACAGTGACTGAAACCACAGCCACCAGCGTGACCCTCACATGGGACTCCGGAAACCCAGAACCTGTCTCTTACTACATGATCCAATACAAAGCCAAGTCCTCAGACAATGGCTTTCAGGAAGTGGAGGGTGTTGCTACCACACGTTATAGCATTGGTGGACTCAGTCCATACTCTGATTATGAGTTTCGTGTCATGGCTGTCAACAACATTGGCCGCGGGCCACCCAGCGACCCTGTGGAATCGCGCACTGGCGAACAGGCCCCCTCCTCACCACCTCTACACGTTCAGGCACGCATGCTGAGTGCCAGTACTATGCTGGTCCAGTGGGAGCCTCCTGAAGAGCCCAACGGACAAATAAGAGGTTACCGAGTATACTACAGCCCTGAGAATAAAACTCCACTGAGCGCCTGGCAGAAACACAACACAGATGATAGCAGCCTGACAACTATCTCAGGCCTGATTCCTGATATCACCTACAGCCTCAGGGTACTGGGTTTCACCTCTGTGGGTGACGGGCCACCTTCTGAAATCCTACAAGTGAAAACACAGCAAGGAGGTGAGGAGCAAGCCACCCTATGTAGCATTGTCTAATTCTTTATGTGTTTAAAAACTGGCAAAGTTACTGGACTATTGCAGTTAAAACCATAGCATGCTTGTGTATTTAGAAAAAAATTGACTTTATCGATGCCTTATTTTTCATCTGACACTTGTCCGTTCTCTTGCTCTGCTCTAGTGCCTGCTCAACCATCTAGTTTTGCTGCTGAAGCTGAGCTGGACACACGCATCAAACTAACTTGGCTTTGGCCGGTGCAGGACCCCATCACTAAGTACGAGCTTCAATACTGGGAGGCCGGCTCAAATAACAAGGTTAGAATAACAACATGAAGGTTTTACTATTTCATTTTCTAGGCTTCTCTCTCACAAAGCATCTCAGCTATCATTCTGTCTGCAGCTGAATTTGTCTCATATTTTTGGTGAAACTACACACATATGAATCTGACTTTTTATGATGCAATTTCTCTGAATGAGAAGTGTCAGCAGAGGCAGTGCTATCGTAGTAATGAAGTCAGCTCTTCAGCTGATGAGAAAGATCTAATGCAGACACACACAGCACGGTTTCTCACTTTTGTTGTGGCAATTTGTTTAACTCTGTTGGACTGTATCAGTTGGAAACTTGAGGGCAAATTGTTCTTGGAACAAGATGTTCTCACATTCAGCTGTACTCCATTGCATTCATGTATGACAGATAGGATTTCAATTGAAGATTAAATCATCTTGCTATAGCAAAACAGCTTAGCACATTAATAGACTTGTGCTACTTTTTTATTTTTTAGTTATTTTTTTTTTATCCCTCTGTCCAAATCTGCCTCTCCCCAGATACATGTGACTTTTGACCCAGCTGGCTTCTATGATGTGGATGGTTTGAAGCCGGACACCTTGTACCATTTTTCCCTGGCAGCCCGTTCTGAAATGGGTTTAGGTGTCTACACCCAGCCCATTGAGGCTCGCACTGCTCAGTCTAGTAAGTACACCATTTTCATTTCTCTCATGACCATCTATCCTATCTGCTTGTTATCCACTAACCGGTGATATTAAAGAGTCGCCTACAGGTGGCTGAAACAGGTTTAGGTCATTCTGTTCAGTAAATGTGTGACAAAATTTGAGTGTTGAAGACCTTAAAACAGAGTGAGAGCAACTTGAATGTCAAGTCAATCTCAGCTGAACATAAAATGCTGACAGTGCAGCCATCCCGGTCAGCTTCTTGCCCCTCCACCTTCCTTCCCCTGTCACCGGCACTAACCCTCCTGTCCATCTATCTGAGAGCAGGCCCTGTGTCAAAGGTACGTTTGATGTGTCTTGTTCCCACATTTGTGAGCTGTGTTGTTTCGCCTCAGATCATTATGTGCTTTTACAGTGCCACCTCTCAAAATGTCACTCACTTTTTGTGTGCGTTTTGTTTTTGCTGTGGCGACATAATCTTGTACCACTTCTCAGGAAAGCTTGAGTGCAATACATGTGTGGCTTGCACAAACCTTGAGGGAAAAGTGCACCAAAATTTTGGCAATAATTTGGAAACCAAAAAAAAAGTTTTTCCACATCATTTGACTCCTGAAACTGACGATGCAATGGACCAGAAACTGGACACGTCACTTTATTGGAGTTGAAACAATAGAATCAAATGCTCAATTTGTGGCTGCTCTGAGATGTTACAATGTGGAGCTTGTTCTTTCACCAAAAGATTGTTGGCTGAGCACAGACTCCGCTTTCAGAGAGCAAACAAACCCAACAACAGGCATGTTTAATTATGAAATGTGATTGGAATGCAATGATTAATTAAAGTTAATCATGGAATTAAAGTTAATTAGCGGCAGCTGATTTGTGTGCATTCGCACCACTGCGCACATTTAGATGCTGAGTTTCCCTTGAATTTTCCGTATATCTCTGGCTGTTGATTAGTGCTACAAGACACGTAGGAAGGGGTGGACAAAACACAGTGGAGCGCAATGAGGGGGAAACTGGATTTTATAAGCCCAGATTGTCCTCAGGAGCACTTTAGGCCATCTCTTTTGCAGTCTTTGGAATTTTGATCAGTTGTTTTACTCATACAAGTCCAGCATATGATGCACAAAATCTCACATTAAGCTAGCTTGTTTGTAAAATAGTCATAAGTCGCTGTAGTTTTAAAAACACAGAGACAGACGCACATGTATATACAAAAATAACATTTATTATTCAAAAATATAAAAAATCTCGGAACTCTACGAGCAAATGTTCTCAAGTTTATTTCTTTTTTTTTTTTTTGAGACAAAATAATATAATTGCAACTTTGGAATCAGGATTCAGTTACATATTACGTTTGTTGACTTTGTTCAAAATGTCTTATCTAGTTTTTCCTTCAGGATTTTCTTTTGTTTTGTGCAGCTTTATTGTTGTTGTAGTATCAGAGTAAGACGTCAACTTTATGCAAAGTTGAATTGGCCTTATTTTTGCTTTACTCTTTTAAGATGGCCATTTATTCCCTCAAACAACCTACCAAAGTACTGTAGCAACCCAATTATTAGTCAATTCCTTTACAAGGAATCCAAAATACAGCCATTTAAGCCATACTTTTAAATACAGTAGTCCCTCACTACTTCGTGGTTCGTTTATCGCAGACTCGCTCTATCTCGGTTTTTCAAAATAAGATTGGACATGACACACAACTGGCTGATTGATGGATGAGCCGCACCATCGGCATAGAATTTTAAATTAAATTATTTTAAATTATTTAGCACCTGCTGCACCTTTGTGCAGCCCATACTGCAGTATAAACTTCCCGCTGCAGCTGATCAGCTGTTATTTGTGCAGAGCTGAGAAGTGGGCGTGGCCAAGAGCGCTTGTAGGTGGCCAAGAGAGCAGCTGGAGGCAGAGAGCTGAAATCATGACATTCTGTGCTCTTTTAGAGTGTTTAGAGTTTAGAAACATTAGTTAGAATACTGCAAGAGTGGAAAGGGTTTAAAACGCCTATATAACCGTGGGTCTTCAGGGTACGGATCCCCTGCGATAAACAAGGGACTACTGTACTCCTTTGTGACTTAACTACTTGCAATAGTTTAAAGCAACATTCTTTACTTATACTTTCTTGTCAGAAAGATTTCCAGGTTGTATATTTTGAAAACTAATGGCTAATCGCTGCTCAAGTTTCACCATGTTTGAACGCATGTTAGAACCTAGAACAAACAAGTGAAAATGACATCAACCTGTCACAAAGACGAGTGGTTCAAAAAAAGTCCATGTTGTTGTTCCTTCTGCTTGCTGATGAAATAAAATTCAGTTAAATGAATTTTAAATACATACGTGTAAGATGGTGTGTATGAAATAAGTAAATGCCTTGGGAAGTTTCTGAGACAAACAGGCAGGAAGGAACGACATTTTCTGGGGCTGCACCTAAATGTTCTGTAAACTTTTTTTTTTAAGTCAAAGCAACAACAAAAAATCTGATCTTGATTTATGTTTTTTCTTTGGTTTGTTTGTTTTGGGTGTTTCTTATTCTGCGTGCGCTCTTCATCTTAGCTAAGGGCTTGACACAGCTGCATGATACTTGACCTAAAATTGAATGGAAATATATTTATGTAACAGAGATTAAGCTCTTGGAAAATCAATAGGTGGAGGTGAAGTTCATGATCAGATTTACTCTTTCTTGCTAAAATTAAAACTGAATATGTTTCTTTTTTTTTTGTAGTACATGAGGGAAGGTGGAAGCTGTAATTTTGTTTACATCATAGGCCACTTTAATATTTTCTTAAATGTTCTGAAAGCTTAAATGTGCTCACGTAATGATCTATCAAAATTACAAACTAGACCTAAACATGTATAATTATTTTTGAATTAAAGTTTCCCCCTGGTTGCTGCCTCTGAGGCATTTGTATTTCTTTTGGTGTTACCTTTTCGTGTCCACTTTGACTTTGATCCAGCAGATTTTCCATCACAAGCTCAATACCAGAATCAATTCTGAAAATCATCAGAACTTTTCTGATTCAGTCTGCCACCTTTTCTTAAATACACAGGGCTCTGCCAAGCCTTTGTAGTTTTCCCTTCACTCCACAGCCTCACATCTCTTTTGTTGAGCTTTATTCTTTGTAAAGGTTTTGTGTTCTGACATTAATTTGTTAGACTCATTCTACATTTCATGAGCATGCGTTATAAGAAAACCCTTTTTTTTTATTTTCTTTCCCTTGCTTCTTTTAAGAGTCCTTAAATTATTATTTTTAAGAAGTCAAATAGGCTCATGATTTAGTTTGGTGAACAAACTTTCTGAATGTTGTTTTTTTTTGTTTTGTTTTGTTTTTTGTTATGTACTTGTTCTGCATTTTAAAATTGTTTAGTTTCTCCTTTTTACCTCTAGACTTGAGAGTTTGCATGCTTTTACTGCACCAGTAATAAATAACAACCGTTATTCATTTCAGAAATAACCAGCATCTTAATACAAGAGGTGCAGATAATTGTGTTTTTGATTTAAACAATAAAGCATTACAGTGTGAGGTGGCTATATTAACATTATGAGTGAAAACTGATATATGCAATCATTTCACTTTAACATTATTGGTTTAGTTGTAATAAATAGGCAAGTAAATGACAGAGTGACAAGTTGCATACTTTATCAGAGCATTTTTTTTTATTTCTTTCCATCTGTTAATAATATTGTTTTGAATGCTGGTGGCGGCAACAAACAGATGTTAGCTGGAATAGGCTTGAGTGTTATTGATAATAAAATTAAGGCCGTATACTGTGTGTCACTGCCCATCTTAGCCCCAGCCAAACTCTAACGAAGCCGAGAGGTTCTGCATCAACGTGTTAACACCAGTCAACACTGTCAAGCAGTTGTTCACAAGCTCACACATCTTTGGCCTGTTTATTACTCCCTCAGCTCACTGCAAGAGGCAGCATGGAGGGCGGTTAGGGACAAATTATGTCTTCATAAAAACACTGCCTTATAAAATTTTGGCACATCTTACATTCTGTCCGCCTCACCCTGTAGTTTCATTGCCTTCTGCATAAATGAAGCGCCAAACACGGCTTCAGCTGTAACCCCATAATGAGTTTTCGCATCCAATCTCTCAGTCTGGAGGTAGCATCCTGTTCAGTATGGAAGCTTTTTGCATTCAAACTAAATTTTGTATTTCATATGCAAACTTGCATTTTTGTATTTTATGTGCAGGGACAAGCACGCACATTGTCATAAAAACATCAGATTTTTGTACAACGTTAGCGGTTCTGCTTTCATTTTTGATACGATATGCACTTTATTCTGCATATTCTTGATCCCGGTGCAAAAAGCTTCTGCAGTGGTTTTGTGTGCATTTAGTTTTACTTTTTGTTTGCTTGATCCATACCCTTCCTTCGTGTGGTTTTGCCCCCTTCCCCCTACAGCCCCATCCGCCCCACCTCAGGAAGTACATCTGGTCAGCCTGAGCTCCACCAGCCTCAAGGTGAGTTGGGTGGCACCACCTGCCGCTAGCCGCCACGGTGCCATTGTGCGCTACACAGTCAGATACCAGGCCCTGGCTGGAGAGGACTTGGAGCGCCATGATGTGCCTGACATCGGGGCAGATGCCACCAGCTACGTGCTGGAAGGCCTGGAGAAGTGGACTGAGTATCAGGTGTGGGTGATGGCTCACACTGATGTGGGTCCAGGCCCTGAGAGCCCCCCAGTGAGGATGAGAACCAACGAAGATGGTAGGTTGAAACCTTGCTCAAAGCAGAGTGCTCCCAAACTGTAACACTCTCCTTTGCTTACTGCAGCCTGTCACTATATTTCTACTCCTTCTTCTGATTTTACAGATTAATGTTCTTTGTCCTGTAGATAAATTATGTGGTAATGAGGTGGCGGTGGTAACTGATTGGGATCACCTTCTTTTTCTCCCTTTCTTCATCTTGTTTGTTACAGCTCCAGTTACAGAAGCTTCATCGCTCCTGGGCTTCAGTTCTGTCACTTTCCTCTTGCTTTCTTTTTATGTATTGTGCAAAAAAAAGTGGAACAGATCTCGACTCTCTTCTCTACTGCTCTTTGGTCTTTTTCTACTTGTTTCTTTTTTTGTTTGTTTTCAATTCACCAGAGGGTGGATTCTTCTGAGAGAGAGAGTGGTCTATAATTAACTTGTTTAAAGTTTCCAGCAGCACAGCTAATTTCATACTGACATTAAGGTAATAACAGTCATGGTGACACTACATGCTGTTGCATATAGGGTGTTTTGGGGACACGATAGTGTTGAATCATCGGAAATGAGCAGAGAGACTATGATTCAGCGCTAGTATTTCATCTCTCTACAAAGTTATTTTAAACAGTTCTTTGGATTCTCATAAGTGAACTAATAAAAATCACCATCTCAGCACATTTTGACTCTCAATTCTCTTCCTATTCTCCTTGCGGTCTCTGCTTCTGTCTATTCATCTAACTCGTTGTTTGGTTTCCAGTGCCTGGAGCACCCCCCAGGAAGCTAGAGGTTGAGGCCTTAAATTCCACCGCCCTCCGAGTTACCTGGAAGCCACCTCTTCAGTTGAAGCAGCATGGCCAAATCAGAGGCTACCAGGTCATCTATTCCCGGTTTGAAAATGGTGAACCGCGAGGCCAGCCAATCCTCATGGATGTTGCTTTGCCAGAAGCACAGGTACAATATGATATCTCACTCTTTTCCAGTCTATCTTTGTCCCTTTTCTGTCTAAACAGGGACTATCCTGTGCAGACTTGTGACAATTTTCACTCTGCTGTCCTCTTATTGTTTGATTCCATGCCTTTTTCCCCACACGTTTCTCGTTTACTGGGTGGCACACATAGAACTTTCTTTCTGCCGACTCCAGTATCCTCTCTCTGTCTTTTTTAAATCTTTCCCTACATGTGACATTTGACTCTAAATTGGTACCCTGCTCCTACAGCTTTGGATTAGCTGTCAGAACAAAATCCACTTAAATTCTACAGTAATAGCTGTTAGATATTTTCTGTGCAACATCAGGATGTGGCTTAGTGGAATCAATGCAGCTCTTTTGCAGTTTTGCCAGTAATACATATGCACTGCCTTGTTACCATGTTTATAAATTAGAGTTATTTCCCCGACACTACCCTTCACATGTTAATACGGGCTGAACTGAATTGCCCAAAGCTGTGCAACACCATGAGATGGATGAAAGATTGTAATCCTTAAGTGGGACTCAGAGATTCATGAATATCTTAATACTAAAAAAAGCCCAAGCCTCATGTTTTTCTGCTTTTGAAAGAGGAATCAAACAGCTTAATAATCTCCGTCTGATTGTTTGCTGGGAGCAAACATTGAAACTACTACATACCATCCCACCTTCAGTCGCCTTCAATGAAAGCATATAATTTGAACAATCGTGTTTACTGGCCACATAAATAAAAAGAACATCTGAGCAGCCTTGCATGTGTCTAAGCTGGGTTTGCTTAAAAAAAGGCAGCAGCAGGCTGTTGGTTCAATTTCTAGGCAGAGACAACTGGCGTACCCTCCAGTTGGAACTATTAACGTTGTTATTTTACCAAACAAACATTTGTCTTGAGTCTTATCATTAAAGAAAATGAAGAAATGCTAAATTCACTTTCCATTGGTATATTATGAATGATCCTAAGCAGGGATTTATGGATTCAAATCATTTCTCAAAATTCACTGACTCTATAATAATTTTCTACATAAAGTATTTCCTTCACCATCTGCCGCTCCAATTTGTACACCTAAAATTAACATTAAGTTAATTCATTTTCACCAAAGAATGCCATTTTTTCTACACCAGGTCAAGTATGCGATCACTTATTAAACATCCCAGCTTTGGTTTTACAGCAGTAGATTCTGGCAGTTATCTGACTGTGTACACGAGAGCTTGAGAGCCACGACAGCACCGTTTGGTCTGGAGGAAGAAAAAAAAAAAGAAGACAAACATTATGGCTGCCTGCTATCGTGGAAGTGTTTTCTTTATGTCGACGCGTTCCGCTTGATTTTGGTTTGAGTTGTGAAAACCGAACTGAACATGACCCTACTTGTTATGCAAACAATACTCCCTGCCATGTCTCATTTGTGGCATGCTCACACAATAAACACAAAGGCACACTGTAATTTGGTGCTTAGTATAACTTGCATGTTCCAGTTTTTTGTCTGGGACACGGTTCAAATACATTGGCCTCCCCCTCCTTGTCAGACCCTGGAATTTATGCTCACATAATCAGGATTTTTTCCTTTTTATTCCAAATTTCACCTCCCTTTTTTTAATGTGGCTTCATTTTGCTCCTTCCTGCTTGAAAATGGGTTGAGTAATTACCAGAGGCTTGCGTGCAGGTCGGTTACCCTTGGTTGAGTCATCTCAACAGGTTGTTTTCTGGAAGACTTCATTGAGTAGTCAACCTGCAAGGACCTGCCCAGACATCATTAGGGACCACACAGTCAGCCAACAGTCCCTTATGCATCTTCGCCTGACTGGTTTTAGAACAATCCCTCCTTTTTCACACATATTTCCATTCACGTACCGCAAGAGCAAGTGGAAAAAAAACAGATAACATGGCCCGACATGCTTCCTGTAAAAAACAACCTTGTAGTATGGTGGTCAAAAAGAGTTCATGACTCATCTCAGATTCATGCAAATCCCTCATACGCACACCTGTAATTGATGACGAAGTAAAAGAAGAAAAAAACAATTTTACTGTATGCTGGCACAGAATATGGCTCAGGATATTTCACTGATTAATTCCCCTAATGTGTTGTGAAATCAGTTCTACAACCACCCTTTCACCTGAAATGGAAGCACAGTAAGCCTGCCAGGAAGAAAAGCAAAATCCAAATTTTCCAGGTCTCTTAACAACACACCACAGCCTCACCTTAGACTTCAGTCGCTGCTCTAAGCTGGCGGATTGAATTGCAGATCCCGTCAAAATCACTATCGCCTTTCCCCTTCCCTTTGTCTCTGTGTTTTTGGCTTCTTTTCACCCTCTCTTGGGGTTAGCTCAAATGCTGCGAGTAGAGCTAGCAGAGCTTGGCTGTGCGTGGGCACTTTAAGCGCTTCTTTTCTTTTCAAGCAGGAGCCCACACATCGCCCTCATTTTCCTGCTAAATTTAAACCAGAGGCCATGTTAGCAGTGTGATGTTATCAACCCCTCGACAATCATACTTTTGTAGGAAAACTGACCGAAACGTGAGTCTGCAACTTCACTCTCACTGTGCTATTCCAGCTGCATCAAGGCTCATTTTTTTATGTACAGCTAAAACATTTTATAGAAACTAGTCAAACAATTTAAGCCATTACCCTCAGTCTTTGACTCGGTTCAGATTTGGCCCGAGCTTGCCTTTCTGCCCAACTTTGCCTCTATTCAGCACTACTTTCCAGCTTCATTTGGTTTGACCACTCATGCATTTTTGTAGTTTATGCGGGCGAGGTGACGCTTCACTGCATCCACGGCCTTCACCACCCCAGACTGGAGTTAAATGGAAATTGAGGTAAAAAAGAGAAAAGAAGCACCTCAGCCCGTTTCACTCTATCAATCATGACAGCTCCTTCTCTTCCACATCACTCGTTCTCCTCTCGTTCCCATTTTTATAGCCGCACATCTCAGCCCATGTCATCACATTTGCATTCACCCGCCTGCAAATTATACTGCTCCGATTCCACAAACGACGCTTATCAGCAATGATGTGTTTTCAGCTTGCGTTGGTATTCAAAATATAAATGGCGGCTAATTTATAATTCTCCTGTGAATTAGCAGAAAGCAAAAGGAGTTGCAGTAGAAAGGCATTAAACCTGATATGAGATAGGAACTTGCGAACCTTAAAGTGTTTGCTGTTTTGTTGACGCACTAAGCTGAGCTGACAGTAAACAAATTAAGCAATTACGAACATCGCAAACCGTTAGTCATGGAGTTAAGCGGCAGCTGTTCTTGAATGGTACTTTTTAGTGCCCCACTATGTCAAGGCGGCACAAGGCTGCAATTTTTGATGTGCCATGTGTCTCAGCTAGTCACAACTGGCTCATTCTTCACTTATCTGGTTGGTAATAAAGACCACCAACATAAACAAAGGTGATTTTTTTT